AGCTACCTAGTTCGTGCCCCGTGTAGCCACGCTGCACGGGGTTCGAACCAGCGGGGTTTTAAAAATGGCGGCACCCCACTTATGCAAATGAAGCCCGGGAAATTCAAATCCCGGGCTTCCTTTGCAAGTGCGGTATGCCTACATTACCCCGCTCGTTCGAACTAGCGGGGTAGTGTAGACATACCCTCAGAGAGATAATTTGCCCTGCACATGCAGGAGTATAGCTGTGCTCCCCACCCCATGAGGGAGACATGTGTAGTTACAGTAGTGGTCAGAGGAGGTTGTTGGAAACAAACTTCTTGGAGAATATTGTGCAGTTGTGTGTACCATTGGAAGGACATGAGAATGTGCTGGGGGATGGAAACTGTCTTGTTTAGAGGGTCTCTGGAAGGAACATAGACAGCTGCCAATCAGGCTTGGAAGAGACTTGTACTGTATTGATGAGAGCAACGATCAGGTCTAGCCTGTGTTTGGGGAGCATTACTCTGGCTGTAGTGAAGTCCAATTGAGCTCCTATGAACTCTAGAACCTATGTGGGTTCCAGAGTGGATTTATGGTAATTGATGTGAAACCGGCAGGTTGTGCAGCAAAGTAATAGTGGACCATGCCTCATGGGTTGTGCTAGAATGTCCTTTTGATAAGACAGTCGTCTAGGTAGGGAACTATCACCCCCAGGAGGTTGGTGGTATGCTGCTACAACTGCTAATGTTTTAGTGAAAACCCATGGTGCTGTTGATAAACCAAACAGAGAGAAGTCGGTATTGGTAATGACTAGTGCCTACTGTGAACTGAAGAAAGCGTCTGAGCACCAAATGGGTAGTTATGTGAAAACAGGCATCCTGGAGATGTTTAGTGCTGGTATGATGGTTGCCAGCGTTACCATCCTGAACCTTCGGTTTCTGATGTATTTGTTGAGTTGTCTGAGATCAAGTATGGGCCTCCATCCCCTGTCTTCTTCTGTGTTAGGAGGTACTTGGAACCTGAAAACTCTTCTGTGGTAAAGTAATGGGACCTCTCTATTTCTCTAATTTGAAGCAGATGTTGAACTTCTGTTTGTAACAGATTCCCATGAGAAGGGTCCCTGAAGCGGGATGGGGAAGAAGGGTGGGTGAGAGGAATAGAGGTTAAAGGGATGGATAATCTCTAACACCCACCAATCAGATGTGTTAAAAAGGCTGAAGCTGGTGAGTTAACTGAAGATCTTTTAGTGTAGATGGTAACACCACGAAGATGTTGCTCAGACCCCCGACCAAACCTTCAAAACTGTTGTTTGGAGGTGGATGGTTGTTTTTTTGAGGGTTGGTGTTGCAGCCTATGTCTGTTGTCTTTACCTATAATCAAAGGATCTCTCTGTCTGCCTGTAAGTATCCCTAGGCCGAGGATAGCTGTTGTACCTCTGCCGCTTGGTAGGTGGAGTGTACATGCCTAAGGTCCTGAATGTAATATGAGAGTTCACTGTATGTAAGACGTCATCCGTCTTCCTGGCAAAGAGATGTGACTTATCAAAGGGGAGGTCCTTCACCTTCAACTGAAGTTCTTTTGGTATGCCCAAAGTTCGGAGCCAAGAGGCCCTACACATGGCTATACCTGTTGCAGTGCTTTGAGCTGCAGTCTGCCACGTTGAGAGCTGTTTGAAGTGCTGTTTGGGCAACTGTATGGTCTTCTGTGATGATGGCCTGAAGTTGTTGGTGCTTTTGATCAGGAAGGAACTCTAAAGGTCCTGTAGTTTTCAATAATTTATATGATCATAACCCACTAAGAGTGCGGAATAGTTGGCCACAGAGTTGTAGTGTTGCCAATGAATATATTTTTATTCTTAGTGTATCTAGGTGATTGTGATCCTTATCTGGGAATGTGTTACAAAATTGTTGGTATTTCTACCTATGATGCCCTTAATCAACCACCAAAGAATTAGGTTGGGGGTGAGAGAAGAGAAAGTCCATGTGTTTCACTGGCACAAAATATTTCCTGTTTGCTCTTTTATTCGTGGGGGTTGCAGATACTAGCATCTGCCACATGGTGTCAGCAGGATCTATTATTGCCACGTCCATCGGGCAATCTTCGATAATGTGTTTGGTTGTAAGATTCTCAACAGTCTGTGCTGTTTTTCTTGGACTTTGTGGAGGGCTGTTTCTTGAGCGTTAGCAACATGTTTAATTAGCTCCTGGAACTGTTTGAGATCATCCACTAGAGCAGGAGTGGTGGGGATGATTGCCTCATACAGAGGATGAATTGTGGGGAGTGGATCTCTGCTCCTCTTCTGCCATGTCGTCGTCCTTATCCAACAAGATATCAGTTGTTCAGGAAGAGTAGGATTGGTCTCCTGAGACACGTGGAGAAATCTAGTAGGTCTCCTTGCCGGTATTGAGGGTTCTGTATACCGGGTCCTGTGTGAGGACCATACCAGTTCCCCGATTATGGTGGGGTGGGTAGGGCCGGGCCAATGTCGGCCATACCATCAGGGCAAAGGCAGTGCGTAGGTGGGTCTGGTGTGTTGAGAGTCCCACGGGGGGCACCTTTGGGTGGGTGAAGAGTGTTGTAATCAAAATCTCCTGCACTTTGGTCCAGTGTCTGGATCGCTATACAAACCTGATGATACCAGTGACCCAGGAAAGTAGCAGGAGAAGACAGGTCAGGCTGGAGAATGTGGAACCAAGAGAACCTCCAGCTCTACATAGGCTGGTGGACTTGGTGCAGACTTATGTTTAGAAGATTTGTGCAGTGCCGGTTTTAGCAGTGCCGGGATAATCCCACCAATGCTGAGGATGGTGTCCGTGTCAGAGCCCATGGAGGCATCATGACAGCATAGGATGGTCTTGGTACTGTCTTCAAAGCTGCTTTTGGTACCACAGTTGGTGATGCATCTGGAGTTGGTGTGGTCATCACTGGTACCGAGGTCCTGTGCCTCAGTTCTACTATGCATACCGATGTACTGTGCTGTCCTTTCCCTGGCAGAGTGCTGGAGGTGCCAGACTTATTGGCTGTACTGGGTCTTGTTGCAGTAGGCACTAGAGGGAATGACCTGGCAAGACTGGTTTTGGCCTTTGAAGTTGCCTTCTCCCATGAAGAAAAGGGATTTTTCTTCGATAAGGTGGAAGATTTATTCCATCTGAGGTTTTTTCAGAGGATGATGGGCTCTCATGGGGTAGTTGAAGAGACTTTTCATATAAGAAAGTCTTAAGGCAATTTTCTCTCTCATTACCTTGCCTAGGCAGTAGTGCAGTGTGAGCACTTCCTTCAGATGGCCTTTCAGGCATTTTATGCATGACAAATGTCTGGAGACCACCACTGGGTCGCTGCATGAATTGCACCTCTTGAAGCCTGGGGAGCCAGGCATGATGAAAAGGGTGAGTATGAAGGTGGGGAAAACTCTTCTTTTTATTAAAAAAAACAACAAAAACAACCCAGGGGTTGAAAAACTTGGAATGAGAGGAAACTCAGCTATTTTTCATTATAGATTGAAGGAAAGGGTGACTACTGTCCTCAGCTGTAGATGGAGCTCCAGCAGAGAAGGAACTGAGGCGTCATGCTGTGCACACAGTCAACAGACACCAAAGACACAAGACTATGCTACTGTGCATGTGTCACGGTGCAGGCTGGCACTGCAACCAAAAATCTCCAATTGCTGATGCAACGACACAACACCTCTTGAAGTGGAGCACCTTCAAGACATCCTAGTGGGCAAAGCCAGAGCAACCCAGAATCACCCCCAGGAAACAGAGAGCTGGGGCAGTAACTATAAAGGCTAGAGCTAAAAGCTCAATTGGGTACCAGCATGAAGGAAGCCAGACATCCTGTCCAAGCTCCTGAGTGGGGAGGCTCAGCCATACCACTGAGAAGAAAATCGGACTGCCAAGATGTCTGGCAAACTCGGAAGGCTGGCCAGGACTTCCAAACTGCTGGCAGTCTAGAAGGCTGGCCAGGATTACCGATAACCCCAGACTCTGAGCCGATGTAAACCCTGCCAGAGTCTTTATTCTCTGCAGACCCAGAGAAGCAGAGACCAAGCCAGGAAGGCCCACACAGCGAACCAGTAAGTAGTCCAGGGGTAGGAGACCCATGTCTGCCTGAGGATTTGGAAGCGAACTAGATAGCATGTTGTGGTCAGGATCTTTCTCTGCCTCCCCACCCACAGGGAACTGGACAACGTGTTGTAACCAGGATCCCCGCTGACTTAGGGGCAACCAGAGCTGCCCGTTAGGGTGCTGGGCTGGGACGCAGTGGAGCCAGCAAGCCTGCATTCCCTACGTGGCAGGTTCCTCGTTTCAGGCCACACTCATGCCCTTGTTGGCACTCTGACAGAGGCAAGAAGACCCAACCGCCATTCAGCCTGAGAACAGAACTGAACCTCTTAAACTACTTGCCATCCTACCCTGAAGAAGACCCTGGGCATAGAAAGTATTGCTTAGCCTGAGGACAGGCATGAGTCCCTAATTTACTAGTTGCTCCACCCCATTCTAAACAAGATCCTGAGCCTGTAAACTATTGCTCAGCCAGACAACAGGCCTGAGCCTGCTTAAACTGTTGTTTCCCCACCCTGAGCTAGGATCAGGGCGAAATGACTGCTACTCAGCCAGACAGTGGCCTGAGCTCTGAGACTCTTCATTGCCCTGCCCTGAGCTAGGGCCATGGCAGACTGGCTGCTACTCGGATCAGGTATAGGCCAGATCATCCGAACTGTTATGGGCCCATCCTGAAGCAGGACTGGACTACTAACATGTCTGTTTCCAGTGTTGTGAGGCAACTTGGCCTCCCTCCAGGACAGGACCAGTACAACAAGATATTCACAAAAGATTATCTGTGACAGAACAGGGACTAGAAGAACCCCAATTCTTCCAACTGCCAGTTCCTTGCCTAGCCTACCCTTCTTCCTCACTTCAAAGTGCTAATTAGCATAAATCTTAACATTACAGGATAGCTTATGGAGTCAATCCTCTCAAAATATACAAGGCCTTGAGGTTTTATAATGCATCAAGAATCAGCTCTGTTCAAGAGCGTACCTGTGGACTGTGTGTTTCACAGTCCATAGCTTGGACAGCAGCAGTGAAATGTCCACCACTATGTCGATGCTGATGTGTAGGGTCTGACCGAGCCCTTCCAGTGTTGTTTATCCGAGAACATCCACCTATAACAACCATAACAAGCAATAATAGTTCAGAAGCAGTATTTACAATATTCTATAGCACAACTGTGTTAGGAACAAACTTAGGCTTTGATCTTGAAACTATTTACTCCTCATAAAGCACAAATAGCTCTAGATTAAAAAAATTCTATTGGATTTTTAAGTTTATATGTTGAAATGGGAATCTATTCTTAATATTTTAAATATTTTGTTTTTATAAAGACAGCTTTCAGAAAAATTGCTGACTATACATTTTTAATATTTTCAATTTAAAATACTGTCTTGACAATTTTCCAATGAGAAATATACCTGAGCTTGAAGATGTGCTAGAGGTGGTTCCTGAAGACTGCTCCATGGCAGGACTTGTAGACACACTGTTACTTGTATTTGTACCTTCATCTGCTGTTTTCTTAAAGAAACTGTGCTGCAGGGCGTAATAAGGTTGAAATCGGGTTTTGGGGTCATAATCAAGCATCCTTAAGATGAGGTCTTTGAATTTCAAGTAGTCAGCTACAGTATGACCCGATTCCCCAGTTCGTCGTCCACCTGGTCCCCCCGTTTCAACTCCAAGTATATTATGAAGTTTGCGAGTTCCAGGTGGTTTATACTCCTATTGAGAAATTAACAGTTAATTTTCATTCAAGTTATAAACTAAACTCTGCATTATCACCATGAAAATAAATCATAAAAGAAACACAATCAAATTAAGGGAGCTCTTTGTCAGTACTGATAATATTAATAGATTTACTTTTCAAATCAATTCTATCATACTTAACAATATTCAATAATGTTAAAATTAAGTCTTCAGAAGAATAAATATTTTTAATCCATACAACTGTTACCACAGAAACATTGAGAATATTCTATCCCTTATGTAGAATACCTAACCCTACCCTTTTTCCATCTTTGGTCTTCTTTAAGTTCCAAGTGCCATCTGGCAACTTCTCAAAGAACTTTCTTGCTTTTGGTGCTTGGTCAAGAATGTGAGCAGGTGCTATGCCCAGAACTTCCACTATTTTATTCATTTGATCCACCTGTTCAAAAGAAAGACTAGTTATACAAACAAATGTAGTAAATAACTAGGCAATGGGATAGAATCTAAAATTCTAGATAGAAGTGAGAAGAAAATTAGATCTACCTTAAAAAAAGGTGTTGAGTTACAAATCAGCTGTAACATTTGAGAATATCATTTCTTATTTATGTAGAGAATACACAAATATGTACAAGTGTCAACATCTCTAGAAATCAATACATTATAATTTGATACAAGCAATCTGTGCTTTAGACTCCCTTGAAAATATATTCCTACTGCAATGTTGATGCTAGTTTTAAAACAATCAAATAGGCTTCCTCCATGTGTATCATACAATTAATTAGATCCAAGTCCTGTTTAGAAAGAATGAAGAATAAGATCAGTTCTACCACTGAGAATTTACACACCTCGTTTGCTCCACTAAATAGAGGTTCTCCAGTGTGCATTTCAACTAAAATACACCCAAGGGACCACATGTCAATTGCAAGGTCATAAGGCATTCCCAGTAGCACCTCTGGAGATCTATAAAAACGACTCTGGATATATTGGTATATCTGAAATAAACACAAAGATAATGAATAATTTCTAAAGAGCCCTGTCCTGATTTAGACATTAGTGACTTAAAAGAAAAGTCCACAGAAAAGTATTTTGAGGTTGGAGAGAACTAAAAGGGAAGTCTGGAAATGTAATAACATATGTAAACATCAGAACTTGTTCTTGAAGTCTCAAGAATTTATACACTAATACTTAATAAAATACTAGAACTATCCTGACCACCCCTAATATCTGCTACTTGTCTTTAAAAATAGGACCTTGCTCACAGTGATTTATTTGTCCATTTAAATTAATCTTTAAGAAAAAATTTGATTTCTCCCAATTTGGACTAATATCCTCCACTGAATATCTGAATCAGATTTCTGTTGGGTACCTGTTGTTGGGGAACATCCTTCTTCACATTCCTCCCAGCACTAAGTTGTTGCAAAGAAAAGGGGATGGCTTTCTTAATCTTTACAGATAAAATTTCATTAAGTGCCTAAGTGACATGCAGGCTTAAATTACATGTGCAAAAGCAATTTAGGCACTTAGGAGCACAGTCCCACTGCTTTTAATGAGCCTTAAGTTTCCAAGTCACTTCGATGCATTTGAAATTTTCTCTCTAAAATTCCTAGTCATCTGCCTCACTGATAACCCTGTTTTAGAGCGGTCAGGCAGAGAATGGTAAAACTATGGGATGTTTCTTCACTGACTGCCATTCAGTCAGTGAACAACCTTTCTATATACCAGAATACATTGGGCCGTAATAAATATGCTTCATGTATCTTAGAAATAATGTCCTTGAATAGAGTGCTAATGAAAACTAAAGTAGGTAGAGTCCAATTCTTCCCCAGGAAGGGAGAAACTTTGGCACCTGAGTAATGCTAAACCAACACCAGTTTCCTCAACTACGCAGTATTCCACTTCTTATTCTCTACAATTCCTAATAGTCTCCTCAAAGCTTTAATAATCTGGTTGTCCCAGTTTTTAAAAAGCTCTTCTAATATTATTTGAATATCTTGAATATTTTTACTAACCCATCCCAAGTAAGTATTATCTTAAAATTGAAAAAGAAATACAAATACAGAAAAAGAAAATACTACTGAAATATTTATTAATCTTCTACCATATTAATCTTCTACTGCTAAATGAGGAAGTCTTGCATTATCAAATAATGTCAGGAAAGTTAATTGGGAATTTGTTAAAGATATTATCTTTTTACACACACTTTTTATGTGGCCCCATCATCAAAGCAAATGAGTGTTTTATATTAATCAACATGAGCAAAACTGAAATTGGCAATGAGAAAATGTTAGGATTGGCTTAATCTTATTTTTCATTTTCCTCTCAAATTTCTTATTAAACCAACATTAACATTTAAATAACACCTACCCTCTGCCCAAGTTGGCAAGAACTGCCAAAATCAACAATCTTGATAGCGCTTCGTTTGGGGTTACAGAGCAGGATATTCTCCGGTTTTAGGTCACAGTGAATGATACTAAGTTCAGGAGTCGCGAGGAAAAGCAGCGCAGTGCACATCTGCTGTGCAAACTTCCGTGTCAGGTTCAGTGAAACACCTCTGAAGTTGGTGTTCCGCAATAGGTCATAAAGATTGTAGGACAACATTTCAAAAACTAAGCAGAGATGGTTTCGGAACATAAAGTGGCGTTTCAAATGCACTAAAAGAGGAAAGAAAACAATTTAGATTAGAAGTACACATTCACTACGATAGTAAACAAATGCAAAAATACAACAAATTATTACACAAGATGCTTCAATTATCTTTAAGATTAACTTCTAACATGTTTATTAAAACATGGGTGATGTATCTGAGGAACTGTCCCGGATTGAAGTGTCATTAGAGGAGGTTTTGGAACAAATAGATAAACTTAATGTTAACAAATCTCCGGGACCGGATAGCATTCATCCAAGGGTTCTAAAAGAACTCAAATTGGAAATTGCTGAGCTATTATCTGTGGTTTGTAACCTATCCTTTAAATCGGCTTCCGTACCTAATGACTGGAAGGTAGCCAACGTGACACCAATATTTAAAAAGGGCTCTAGAGGCGATCCTGGCAATTACAGACCGGTAAGTCTAACTTCAGTACCGGGCAAATTAGTCGAAACAATAGTAAAGAATAAAATTGTGAAGCATGTAGAAGAACATAATTTGTTGGACAAAAGTCAACATGGTTTCTGTAATGGGAAATCCTGTCTTACTAATCTATTAGAGCAAAATGCAGGACAATGTAGCACTTTAAAGACTAACAAGATGGTTTATTAGATGATGAGCTTTCGTGGGCCAGACCCACTTCCTCAGATCAAACAGTGAAAGAAAAAAAAGTTTTGCTTCCACTATTTGATCTGAGGAAGTGGGTCTGGCCCACGAAAGCTCATCATCTAATAAACCATCTTGTTAGTCTTTAAAGTGCTACATTGTCCTGCATTTTGCTTCAGCTACCCCAGACTAACACGGCTACATTTCTATCACTAATCTATTAGAGTTCTTTGAAGGGGTTAACAAACATGCGGATAAGGGGGATCCAGTAGATATAGTATACTTGGATTTTCAGAAAGCCTTTGACAAGGTCCCTCACCAAAGGCTCTTGTGTAAATTACGTGGCCATGGGATAAGAGGGAAGGTCCTTTCTTGGATTGAGAACTGGTTAAAAGACAGGAAACAAAGGGTAGGAATAAATGGTACATTTTCAGATTGGAGAGGGGTAACTAGTGGTGTCCCCCAAGGGTCAGTCCTCGGACCAATCCTTTTCAACTTATTCATAAATGATCTGGAGAAAGGGGTAAGCAGTGAGGTAGTAAATTTTGCAGATGATACAAAACTGTCTAGTATAGAAACAGACTGTGAGAGACTTCAAGAAGATCTCACCAAACTGAGTGAGTGGGCAACAAAATGGCAAATGAAATTTAATGTGGATAAGTGTCAAGTAATGCAAATTGGGAAAAATACCCCAATTATACATACAGTATGATGGGGGCTAATTTGGCTACGACAAATCAGGAAAGAGATCTTGGAGTTATCGTGGACAGTTCTCTGAAAACTTCTACGCAGTGTGCAGTGGCGGTCAAAAAGGCAAATGGGATGCTAGGAATTATTAGGAAAGGGACAGAAAATAAGACCCAGAATATCTTACTGCCCCTGTATAAAACTATGGTACGCCCACATCTTGAATACTGTGTACAGATGTGGTCTCCTCACCTCAAAAAAGATATTTTGGCCTTGGAAAGGGTTCAGAAAAGGGCAACTAAAATGATTAGGGGTTTGGAACGGGTCCCATATGAGGAGAGGTTAAAGCGACTGGGATTTTTCAGTTTAGAAAAGAGGAGACTGAGGGGGGATATGATAGAGGTCTATAAAATCATGAGTGGTGTGGTGAGGGCCGATAAAGAAAAGTTATTTATTAGTTCCCATAATAGAAGAACTACAGGACATCAAATGAAATTAATGGGTAGCAGGTTTAAAACTAATAAAAGAAAGTTCTTCTTCACACAGCGTGTAGTCAACCTCTGGAACTCCTTGCCAGAGGAGGCTGTGAAGGCTAGGACTATAATACAGTTTAAAGAGAAGCTAGATTATTAGCCAGGGGATAGAAATGGTGTCCCTGGCCTCTGTTTGTCAGAGGCTGGAGATGGATGGCAAGAGACAAATCGCTTGATCATTGTCTTCGGTCCACCCTCTCTGGGGCACCTGGTGCTGGCCACTGTCGGCAGACAGGATACTGGGCTAGAAGGACCTTTGGTCTGACCCAGTACGGCTGTTCTAATGTAAAACAGTGATATTTAGTGATATTTTTCTGATTATTAGTTTTTCTGTTGAAAACAATATTGACTTAAGACCTCATCATTCTGATTCAAATGATTACATAAGGAAGTGAAATAAAAAATTAAGACATTCACAGAAAAAAGGAAGTGAATGAGGAGAATGCAGTATAGTGAAAAATGGGAAGGCATGCCAAGTATGGATCCACATGTGAGAAACAGAGCTACAAACACAATCATAAAGAGACTTCTATAACACGAATTTCAACAGCATCTCCTAGGTCCAAAAGAAACACACGCAGACTGCCTCTCCAAAACAGGGTGATATTTTCCCATTATTAAAAGAATTAAAATATATACGTTATCTGTAACTAGGATATGAACGAGTAGTCAACTAGTCAATTAACCTATAAGCCTAGGCTTATCGGTCAATCTAGTAGACCACTCACATTCCTCCCTCCCTCCCCCGCCTCTATTTCAGAGGCAGCAAGCGGGGGGAGAGCAGGAACTGGTGGGATCCAGCTTAAAAACCAGTCCCCACCCACCAAACCAGCTCCATGGCGACACCTGCCCCCTCTATCAGAGGCAGCAGCACTGATTGGGAAGGAACAGGGGAGACTGCCGCAAAACAGCTTCTGACTGAGCCGGCCACAGTTGCTTCGCAGTGGACAAGGGCTGGATGAAGACCAGGGGGAAGGGAAGAGGGACAGGAGGGGTTTTGAGCTCCCTATGGACAGAGATTGGAGAAGCCCCCCCACCCTCCAAGCAGCCTGTCTAAGTGGAGCTTACAATCTAAGCATAAGATAAGAGACAACAAATTAATACAAGGAGCTTACAATATAAGTGTAAGACAAATAAATACAGACTAACCATGGACTACAGGGAAACAAGACAACAGTATAGATTAGCATGATGGGCAGTAATGTCTGCACACCAGTAGCCTAGCCATTCTCAAAGTTTTTGTAGGTCTCATGGCAAAGGAGAGTTCACCCATCCTAGGGGCAGCATGGAAAAGCATGAAGGTGCCTGTTTGAAAATTTAACTAGTGGGTGAAGCAGGTTATAGAATCACAGAACACTAGAACTGGAAGGGACCTTGAGAGGTCATCGAATCCGGTCCTCTGCCCTCATGGCAGAATCCAGGACCATCTAGATCAATGTTTCCCAAACTATGGGCCGCAGCCTGATATCGGGCCGCGGGAAAAAAATTCCGGGCCTCAGCGTGGCTGCCGGGAGAGGAGAGCGGGGCGAAAAAAGGAAGTGAATGAGGAGAATGCAGTATAGTGAAAAATGGGAAGGCATGCCAAGTATGGATCCACATGTGAGAAACAGAGCTACAAACACAATCATAAAGAGACTTCTATAACACGAATTTCAACAGCATCTCCTAGGTCCAAAAGAAACACACGCAGACTGCCTCTCCAAAACAGGGTGATATTTTCCCATTATTAAAAGAATTAAAATATATACGTTATCTGTAACTAGGATATGAACGAGTAGTCAACTAGTCAATTAACCTATAAGCCTAGGCTTATCGGTCAATCTAGTAGACCACTCACATTCCTCCCTCCCTCCCCCGCCTCTATTTCAGAGGCAGCAAGCGGGGGGAGAGCAGGAACTGGTGGGATCCAGCTTAAAAACCAGTCCCCACCCACCAAACCAGCTCCATGGCGACACCTGCCCCCTCTATCAGAGGCAGCAGCACTGATTGGGAAGGAACAGGGGAGACTGCCGCAAAACAGCTTCTGACTGAGCCGGCCACAGTTGCTTCGCAGTGGACAAGGGCTGGATGAAGACCAGGGGGAAGGGAAGAGGGACAGGAGGGGTTTTGAGCTCCCTATGGACAGAGATTGGAGAAGCCCCCCCACCCTCCAAGCAGCCTGTCTAAGTGGAGCTTACAATCTAAGCATAAGATAAGAGACAACAAATTAATACAAGGAGCTTACAATATAAGTGTAAGACAAATAAATACAGACTAACCATGGACTACAGGGAAACAAGACAACAGTATAGATTAGCATGATGGGCAGTAATGTCTGCACACCAGTAGCCTAGCCATTCTCAAAGTTTTTGTAGGTCTCATGGCAAAGGAGAGTTCACCCATCCTAGGGGCAGCATGGAAAAGCATGAAGGTGCCTGTTTGAAAATTTAACTAGTGGGTGAAGCAGGTTATAGAATCACAGAACACTAGAACTGGAAGGGACCTTGAGAGGTCATCGAATCCGGTCCTCTGCCCTCATGGCAGAATCCAGGACCATCTAGATCAATGTTTCCCAAACTATGGGCCGCAGCCTGATATCGGGCCGCGGGAAAAAAATTCCGGGCCTCAGCGTGGCTGACTGGAGAGGAGAGCGGGGCAGGATGGGGGGGGCGGGG